AAAAAAAAAAAAAAGAGCTAAAGGCCTTGAAGTGATCTTGGTGTTTTCAAAGAACAGGACATTGTGGCTTGTAGACCAAAGACAAGTAGAGAGGGAGGAAGTGAAGTTGTCCTAGGACAGAGGAATCAGGGACCATGTAGACAGCTTGTTCAAGGAGTTTTGTAGTTGTTTGAACAGAGACAGAAAAATGATCCAGTATTCTGGAGAGAGAGGAGATTTTGGTTTGTTTTGTTTACTAAGACAGGAGAAAAAAACAACTGAGTGTGGTGGCACACACCAGAGACTCAAAAGGCTGAAGCTAGAAGATTGCAAGTTTGAGATCAGTCTCAGCAACTTAGCAAGACCCTGTCTCAAAAGAAAACATAAAAAGAGCTTGAGCCAGGCGTGGTGGCACATGCCTGTAATCCTAGCGGCTCAGGAGGCTGAGACAGGAGGAACTCGAGTTCAAAGCCAGCCTCAGTAATGGCAAGGTGCTTAACAACTCAGTGAGACCCTATCTCAAAATAAAATACAAAATAGGGCTGGGGATGTGGTTGACTGCCCCTGAGTTCAATCCCTGGTACATGCCCCCCCAAAAAAGAGCTGAGGATGTAGTTCATTGGTAGAGGGACCCTGGGTTCAATCCCTAACAGTACCCCCACACAAAGGAAAGACAGGAGAAAATCCAATGTAATTGTATACTGATGGGAATGACTCAGAAGAGAAAAGAAATTTTAGAATGCCAAGGAGCATAAAGAACTGCTAAAATGATGTCAGGTAGGTAGGAGGAGAGCAGTTGGCCTTAGGAACACAGCCAGTTCATCTCAGCACTGTAAGTGGGTAGGCAGATACAGAGCACAAGGGCAGGTAGGAGAGTGGATGTGGCTGGCAGTAAGAGTTTGTGGAAGTGAAGTGCTCTTTTGATTGCTTTTACATTCTGAATGAAATAGGAAGCAAGGTGATTGGCAGAGAGAAGACAGGAAAGAGGTGTTGGAGGCTTAAAGAAAAGGGTAATATATGAAATAGGATGTGTTGATAATGTGTGATCAAATAAGTCACATGCATCTGCATATGCTCAATTGAATATTATTTTGTCCTGGATAAATCCAGACTTTTTCTGCTGATTTGTTGGCCCAGAAAAGACAATAAGACCAGAGTATACTCATATAAAAATGAGGTATATGTTACTTGTAACTTGATTGTGCACCTAACTTACTGCATTTGGCCCTTCAACTATACTCTAGGTTCTTACTCTTCATTCTTCCTGTATGAGTTAATAGCTAATGAAATAATGCTTCAGTCTTCAATTAAAAAATTCATCTCGGCCAT